TACTCGGCCTTCGCCAGAATGCAGGGCCAGTGCCTCTGCAAAGATGCGAGGGAGTGGGAGGATAATTGGGGGGCGGGTGCACAGTACAGTATGAGCAAGGGAAGGAGTGCAGAAGATGCTGCATGGCGTGCTGCAGTCAGAGCTGAAAGGGGGGGTAGCAGACAAGATGCATGTGCTGACGATGTTATGGGACATCAAACAGTTCTACGAGAACCTATATCACGACTTGCTCTATCGTGCGCCCCAGGCATTGCAGTGCCCGCTCTATGCTATTCGTCTAGCGCTACACATGTACGCCATCCCGCGGAGGATCTTTCTGGACGGAGCCGTGGGCCCACGGATTTATCCTTCCAAGGGAATTGTCGCAGGCTCCAAAACGGCCACGACAGAGGCCAAGATGTATGCAATGCCCATGCTAGAGGGCGTCTCTGCTGCAACGGAAGAGCTAGCATCGGCATCCATACACATCGACGACATCACCTCCAGTTCGTGGGCCTTTTTGGGCTAGAAGAATGCGTTCAGTATCTCTGGAAGTTTGGGTTGAAGCTAAAGGAGGGCCTTACCGCCCTTCACCTTCCCCTTGCCGTAGACAAGCTTGCTGTCACAGCCAGCCCAGGCCCCCTGCTCAAGAGGGCCAAGGAAGTTTGGGGAACAGTTGCAGGGGCAGCAGTACCGTCAGCTTCCCACCTAGGCATCGACTTCGCATCAGGAAAGCATAAGCGGCGCCCTGGAGCCAATACGACAAGGAGAGCACGATGGGCCAAAACGCACTCGAGATTATGTCGTCTTCGGGGCGTCAAAAGCAAGAAGCCGAAGAATAGGGCTCGTTTCATTGTTCCTGGAGTTCGGTCAGCTCTCTCGCACGGTGGGAAGGTCCACGGTTACACGCCCGCTGAGAAAGATAGGCTACGCTCTATGGCTAGGATTGTTTCAGGACCCCAGCTTAGAGGAGCAAGGACCGACAGATGGTGGCAAGTACACGAGGTGGCAGACCCTCTTAGTCTAGCATCCAGCAATTTGGAAAGATACTGTACGGAGTGGAGGAGGGCTACGTCAGATAGAGCAGAGTTCGGCATGCATGCAGATGGGCTAGATGCTAAAGACCAGGACCCTCTTTGTGGCTGTGAAAACCAAGTTCCAGGACCCAGGGAATACTTCGTGGTTAGGGCGACCGGCAGGACCCATCCCAGACATGCTGCTTTGGCTTCAGAGGGCGGGCGGGCACTTCGACAACCCGACTACCCTCCAGCCCAGAGTGGGGGGCAGCATCAATATCCTGGAGATTCCGCCAGTTTCGATTGCCAAGCAGTTCACGGAGGACCTCAAAGAACAACAGTCTAGCTAGGCTGTAGGCATCGAAATGAGTGCTCTCCCTCGCCCCCCTCCTCCGCCAGTCGGACAGGAAGGGGGCGTGGACTGGGCCCAGGCCCGCAGGGGGCTTAGGCACGTGCGAAAGCAGCTCACCCCCGACGAGTACACC